TCCGGACCAGGGCGTCTCAAACGCCCTGGTCTGCAGAGGGGGTTAGTCATCTGCCGAGGCCCTTGGTGAGTTGAGAGGCAACAAGTTAATATTTTCACTAACAATGGATGGAATTTTGTTGGTTCATCCTAATTAGAATCAACACATTAAATCATTACTAAATGGTGAGCCAATACAGAGGTAAATCCAGTTGGTTCAATAGGTCCATTCTAGTCAGTATTAACAATAGGATTTAGACCTATATAAATGTATCTGTTCTGCCTATTATGTTGCACCTGGATAATCCCATTTCTTGTGAGATAGGATGTAGCAGTACCTTTTCATCCTTCTGGAATGCACTCTTGTTGTAGCTGTCAAATTTTCTCTATAGAAGGAAATGGTAATGTGTGATAATGTTGGAATAGAAATGGATTGGAGTAGACAGGACTGGCTAGACCCAGTTTAAAATCCCATTTAGCCATGAAGCTCACTGGGTAATCCTGGGCTAGTCACATTTCTTGTTTTTTATTTAGTTTTTATTAAACTTTTACAGGAAAAGGTACATAGAACTTGTACAACAAACAAAAGATAATGAAAAGAGGACAAGAGACAGGACATGAAACGTGGGCAAATGATGTTGGTCTATATGAGGGGTAGGCAACCTTTCCCCTTTAAGGGCTGAGGGAATTCAGTTCCCAGAAGCCTCAGCCATGTTGGCCAATAGTCCCATGTTGGCCAATAGCTCCTGGGATTCTGGGAGGTGAAGTCCCTCGGCCCTTAAAGGGGACAGGTTGCCTACCACTGGTCTATATGATAATTATTTTACATCACAACTGGATGAATGGTTTTCTGCAGGAGTCAATAAGTCTGTTGTATCTAACTGTAAAGTGTCCTTCCAGAAGTTTATTTGTGTAGTTTAGGGGTAGGCAACCTTTCCCCTTTAAGGGCCGAGGGACTTCAGCTCCCTGAAGCCTCAGCCATGTTGGCCAATAGTCCCATGTTGGCCAATAGCTCCTGGAATTCTGGGAGCTGAAGTCCCTCGGCCCTTAAAGGGGAAAGGTTGCCTACCCCTGGTGTAGTTGGAGGTTGGAGTTCATGCAAATGTTCATTTACATAATCAATAACGATGGTCCAATCTTCCTGAAATGTCTTGCTTCTCTTTTCTCTATTGCAGAATTTCACCATGTAGAAAAGTTTTTCTAGCAACCACATGTTCCAAATTCTTTCCCACCAGCTGTCAATATTGAGGTTTCCAGATTTCCAACATTTAGCCACCTCTTGTCTGGCAGCTGTGATAAAGAAAGGCAATTAGCTTCCTGTATTTCAGTTTGGCATTGTTGTTAACATATATTGAGAGGCCAGTCACATATCTTATTCTTAAAGTTAATGAATGAACAGAATTAGATTTCAGATTCAGAATGCTTCCTTATTTTGTATTGTATTGATGCTTTTATAATCCTCCTGATGTTACTTTGTTTTGAAAAATTGAGGTATAAATAAATGAACGAATGGGCCTAAACCCAACACAAGGCTAGCATTAGATTAGATTAATTCCTAATTTTCAGGTCAGAATGTTAAGCAGTCTGTGCTACACCAGCCTGAGGATCGTTTGAGCATCCTATTGTTATGTAATAGCACTTGACTCATTTTGTATGCTCATTTTGTACGTTATAGGATTAGCCTTGACCTCTACTGCAGCTTGGGAGCATTTTCTTCTGAAGTTATAGAAGATCAACAACCATTGCAATATGAAGCAGAGATTATCTTCCCATTCTGCGTTTTCACACTGATTAGAAACTTCTGTCACTGATTCTCCTCCTGTCTCTGAGCCATGTATGGATATATTATGCCATTGTTTTGAATACTTCCTCTTGATTCACTGAATAAATATGTTGTTTTGAAGGGTGTCATTACTGGACTGTGATATTGAATAAAATAATAATTTGAATACAAATGTTTTCGGAACCAGTGGCCAACAGGGGAATTACATGGTTCCATTTCCACCCTTTATATAGCATTAAAAGAATGGAATAGATGAATGATGAATGAGTGCCTGTTAATGTAGGGATATTCATTCATCAAATCCACTTCTCTACAGGGAGCTGTATGGCAGGCTGGAAATGGTTTGAGTGCCAGATCTTTGGCTGGTGCTACCTGAGGAGCTTTACCAATTCATACCTTTTTACCAATGAACTGGAAAGGTGTCCCTGCTTTGAGGCTTATAGTAACTTTAGATGTTAATGGGGAGAGATTTTTTTTAATTATAAGGGAAATGTTGATACATTTTCTTAGACTCTACTGCTTGGTACTCATTGCTCAGTGATCCTTTGTATTCCTGGCCATCCCAGCTGTATGCAGCATTCTTTTTTGGCATTATTTCCTCTATTATCTGGCCTTCTTTCCTTGTTCTATCCCTGTTGACCCATGGCAAACAAGAGAAGCCCTTGCAATTCCATACCTGGATAGTGTACTGGTTGAACAGATAGAGAGGGTTTTGGGTTGTTTTTTTTTTGTTGCCAAAGATGCAAGAGAAGATCCAGAAAATGGTGTATCTCTGCCATAGCTGCCTGATAAGCTCTGAAAAGAAAGATTTCCAATTTTTAAAGTGCAGGTACCAGGAGGAGTAGTCTTATTTATAAATCATAGGTGAAGCCTGGAAAAGTTAATTTTTGGTATCCAAATCCCAGAATTTACTAGCCATTAACCATGCTTGCTGAAAGATCCAGGGAACTATAAGCAAAAAATAACACTTGCAAGCTTGGCCTGTGGCTCACAAATACGATTCTCTCCAAACTTTAGAAAAGGTAAATTTTGGACTATAACTCCCATCATCCCCTAACTGCTGGTCAGGTTGGCTGGGGAATTCTGGGAGTTAGAGTCCAAATGGTAATTTTCCACACATCTAGTCTTCAGTATCTTGCCTTGCTCCTTTTCCAACAGACATATTTGCACATGCACACATACATACAGATTGCAATGAATAAACGACTGCCCAGATTACAACTAATGTGTTGTAATGTATTTGCAAAACAGACTCCTGCACTTAGCAGTACTGAAAGCACAGTCAGTTCTCACTCCCTGTTGAGTGTAGGCTTATTATGAAACATGTTTGCAAGCCAGTGCTGGGTGATTGACCCACTGTGATTGACAATCAGGCAGCTGATTCACAAGCCATGCTGCATATGTTCAGACAAAAGCTTTCATACATTTTGAACTTTGAATTATGACTAAGTTTGGGTCCGTATGTATTATCTTGGGACTGTGGTGTGTTTAGTGCAATATTTTGTTTCTACCACTGCAAAACAACATCAGTGTCACAAAAAGGGCTGCACTGAATTGACCTTTGTCAGTCACCTCAGCACTAGTTGATTTATTACATTTCAAGGGTGAGGGAAAGTTCTGTTCTAGGGTGATTTTTTTGGGGGGGGGAAATTTTGGTTAATTAAAAATGGCTGCCAAGATAAAAATATGGCTGCCTCCTTTGTCATACCTTGGGGGTCATAGTAATAGAGTGCTGTTGAATATATAGAGAAATATGCATACTTTTACAAAATTGATGACTAATTTTCCCAATAGTTCAATTTCTTCAATAAGTACAGTATTAAATATCTTTCCCCAAAAGAAAGTGTAGTGGCTGGCAGATAACTGGCATATAAAATCACACATTGACATCCCAAGCAACCTTAGTTCTAACTCTGAGCAGCCACAGAAAAAAAATGTTATTATTATAATAATTCTATTATATATTCTATTCTATTATATATTATAATAATATTATATAATTATAATATTATTATTATAAATCTGAAGCAGCAAGGAGAGCTAGGAAAAAAACTCATCCAATCCCCTCCTACCATCTCATATAGCAAGGAGAGCTAGGAAAAGACTCATCCAACCCCCTCCTACCACCTGAAGCAGCAAGGAGAGCTGGGAAAGACTCATCCAGCCTCTTACTCCCATCTGAAGCATCAAGGAGAACTGGGAAAAGACTCCATCCAATCCCCCTCTCAGACATGTGATTCCACTGCCTGCCTTCCAAAGGTAGAAGAGGAAAAACAGCTAGGAGGAAGAGGAAGGGAAAAACCAGCTATATGAGTCCATCTCAGCC